TGCAGAACATGCAGGATTGTTGTATAGGTACATACATGGCAATGTGATTTGCTGCCTCTATCCCTGTCACCTATGTCCTTTCTCCCCATGTTATCCCTCCCCAACTCCCTACCCCCTGCTGTCCCTCCCCTAGTCCCACCCCAACAGACCCCAGTGTGTGATGCTCCCCTCCCTGTGTCCATGTGTTCTCATTGTTCCAATACTCGCATATGAGTGAGAACATGCCGTGTTTGATTTTCTGTTCTTGTGTCAGTCTGCTGAGAATGATGTCCCTACAAAATTCACAAACATCCAATTCATCCATGTCCCTACAAAAGACACAAACTCATGTTTTTTAGCTGCATAGTATTCCATGGTGTATGTGTGCCACATTTTCCTTGTCCAGTCTATCATTGATGGGCATTTACGTTGGTTCCAAGTCTTTGGTATTGTAAACAGTGCCGCAATGAACATTTGTGTGCATGTGTCTTTATAACAGAATGATTTATAATCCTTTGGATATATATGCAGTAATGGGATTGCTGGGTCAAATGGAATTTCTATTTCTAGGTTCTGAAGGAATTGTCACACTGTCTTCCACAATGGTTGAACTAATTTACACCCCCACCAACAGTGCAAAAGTGTTCCTGTTTCTCCACATCCTCTCCATCATCTGTTGTCTCCAGATTTTTTAATGATCGCCATTCCAACTGGCATGAGATGGTATCTCAATGTGGTTTTGATTTACATTTCTCTAATGACCAGTGTTGATGAGCATTTTTTCATATGTTTGTTGGCCTCATATATGTCTTCTTTTGAAAAATGTCTGTTCATATCCTTCACCCACTTTTGAATGGGTTTGTTTGTTTTTTTCTTGTAAATCTGTTTTAGTTCTTTGTAGATTATGGATATTAGCCTTTTGTCAGATGGGTAGATTGCAAAAATTTTTTCCCATTCTGTTGGTTGCTGGTTCACTCTAATGATTGTTTCCTTTGGTATGCAGAAGAAGCTCTGGAGTTTAATTAGATCCCATTTGTCTATTTTGGCTTTTGTTGCCAATGCTTTTGGTGTTTTAGTCATGAAGTCCTTGCCTATTCCTATGTCCTGAATGGTTTTGCCTAGATTTTCTTCTAGGGTTTTTATGGTGTTAGGTCTTATGTTTAAGTCTTTAATCTATCTGGAGTTAATTTTAGTGTAAGGTGTCAGGAAGGGGTCCAGTTTCTGCTTTCTGCACATGGCTAGCCAGTTTTCCCAACACCATTTATTAAACAGGGAATCCTTTCCCCATTGCTTGTTTTTGTTAGGTTTGTCCAAGATCAGATGGTTGTAGATGTGTGGCGTTGCCTTCGAGGCCTCTGTTCTGTTCCATTGCTCTTTATCTCTGTTTTGGTACCAGTACCATGCTGTTTTGATTACTGTAGCCTTATAGTATAGTTTGAAGTCAGGTAGTTTGATGCCTCCAGCTTTGTTCTTTTTGCTGAGAATTGCCTTGGCTATGTGGGCTCTCTTTTGGTTCCATATGAGGTTTAAGGTGTTTTTTTCCAGTTCTGTGAAGAGGGCCATTGATAGCTTTATGGGGATAACGTTGAATCTATAAATTACTTTAGGCAGTATGGCCATTTTCACAATATTGATTCCTCCTAACCATGAGCATGGAATGTTTTCCCATCTGTTTGTGTCCTCCCTGATTTCCTTGAGCAGTGGTTTGTAGTTCTCCTTGAAGAGGTCCTTTACCTCCTTTGTTAGTTGTATTCCTAGGTATTTTATTCTCTTTGTAGCAATTGTGAATGGCAGTTCACTCTTGACTTGGCTCTCTTTAAGTCTGTTATTGATGTATAGAAATGCTTGTGATTTCTGCATATTGATTTTGTATCCTGAGACTTTGTTGAAGTTGCTTATCAGTTTAAGGAGATTTTAGGCTGAGACGATGCAGTCTTCTAAATATACAATCATGTTGTCTGCAAACAGAGACAATTTGACTTCCTCCTTTCCTAATTAAATACCCTTTACTTTTTTTTCTTGCCTGTTGCTCTGGATAGAACTTCCAATACTGTATTGAATAGGAATGGTGAGAGAGGGCATCCTTGTCTAGTGCCAGATTTCAAAGGGAATGCTTCCAGTTTTTGCCCATTCAGTATGATATTGGCTGTGGGTTTGATGTAAATAGCTTTTATTATTTTGAGATACATTCTATCAATACCTAGTTTATTGAGAGTTTTTAGAATAAAACACTGTTGAATTTTGTCAAAAGCCTTCTCTGCATCTATTGAGATAATCATGTGGTTTTTGTCTTTGGTTCTGTTTATGTGGTGAATTACGTTTATAGACTTGCGTATGATGAACCAGCCTTGCATCCCCGGGATGAAGCCTACTTGATCATGATGGATAAGCTTTTCGATGTGCTGTTGCAATAGGTTTGCCAGTATCTTACTGAAAATTTTTGCATCTATGTTCATCATGGATATTGGCCTGAAGTTTTCTTTTCTGGTTGAGTCTCTGCTGGGTTTTGGTATCAAGATGATGTTGGTCTCATAAAATGATTTGGGAAGGATTCCCTCTTTTGGATTGTTTGGAATAGTTTTAGAAGGAGTGATACCATCTCCTCTTTGTATGTCTGGTAGAATTCAGCTGTGAGCCCATCTGGACCTGGGGTTTTTTTGTTTTGTAGGCTATTAATTGCTGCCTCAACTTCAGCCCTTGTTATTAGTCTATTCAGAGTTTAGACTTCTTCCTGGTTTAGGCTTGGGAGGGTGCAAATGTCCAGGAATGTATCCATTTCTTCCAGGTTTACTGGTTTATGTGCATAGAGTTGTTTGTAGTAATCTCTGATGGTGATTTGTATTTCTGTGGAATCTGTGTTGATATCCCCTTTATCATTTTTTATTGCATCTATTTGATTATTCTCTCTTTTCTTTTTTATTAATCTGGCTAGTGGTCTATTTTGTTGATCTTTTCAAAAAACCAGGTCCTAGATTTATTAATTTTTTGAAAGGTTTTTTGTGTCTCTATCTCCTTCAGTTCTGCTCTGATCTTAGTTATTTCTTGTCTTCTGCTAGCTTTTGATTTTTTTTTTTTTTTTTTTTTTTTTATCTTGCTCCTCTAGCTCTTTCAATTTTGGTTATAGGGCGTCGATTTTAGATATTTCCTTACTTCTCATGTGGGCATTTATTGCTATAAATTTTCCTCTAGACACTGCTTTAAATGTGTCCCAGAGGCTCTGGTACATTGTGTCTTCATTCTCATTGGTTTTGAAGAACATCTTTATTTCTGCCTTCATTTCATTGTTTATCTAGTCAACATTCAAGAGCCAGTTTTTCAGTTTCCATCAAGTTGCCTGGTTCTGAGTTAGTTTCTTAATTCTGAGTTCTAATTTGATTACACTGTGATCTGAGAGACTGTTTGTTATGATTTCCATTCTTTTGCATTTGCTGAGGAGTGATTTGCTCCCAATTATGTGGTCAATTTTAGAGTAGGTGTGATGTGGTGCTGAGAAGAATGTATATTCTGTGGATTTGGGGTGGAGAGTTCTGTAAATGTCTATTAGGTTTGCTTGGTCCAGATCTGAGTTCAAGTCCTGTATATCCTTGTTAATTTTCTGTCTGGTTGATCTGTCTAATATTGACAGTAGAGTGTTAAAGTCTCCCACTATAATTGTGTGGGAGTCTAAGTCTCTTTACAGGTCGTTAAGAACTTGCTTTATGTATCTGGGTGCCCCTGTATTAGGTGTGTATATATTTAGGATTGTTAACTCTTCTTGTTGCATTGATCCTTTTACCATTATGTAATGCCGTTCTTTGTCTCTTTTGATCTTTGTTGATTTAAAATCGATTTTATCAGAGACTAGGATGGCAACGCCTGCTTTTTTTTTGCTCTCCATTTGCTTGGTAAATCTTCCTCCATCCCTTTATTTTGAGCCTTTGTGTATCCTTGCACGTGAGATGGGTTTCTTGGATACAGCACACTGATGGGTTTTGACTTTTTATCCAATTTGCCAGTCTGTGTCTTTTGATTGGGTCATTTAGCCCATTTACATTTAAGGTTAATATTGTTATGTGTAAATTTGATCCTGCCATTTTGATGATAGCTGGTTGTTTTGTCCATTAGTTGATGCAGTTTCTTCATTGTGTCAACGCTCTTTACCATTTGGTACATTTTTGGAGTGGCTGGTACTGTTTGTTCTTTTCTATGTTTAGTGCTTCTTTCAGGAGCTCTTGCAAAGCAGGCCTGGTGGTGATGAAATCTCTGAGCAATTGCTTGTTCATAAAGGATTTTATTCCTCTTATGAAGCATAGCTTGGCTGGATATGAAATTCTAGGTTGAAAGTTCTTTTCTTTAAGGATGTTGAATATTGGCCCCCACTCTCTTCTGGCTTGTAGGGTTTCTGCCAAAATATCTGCTGTGAGTCTGATGGGCTTCCCTTTGTGGGTAACCCAACCTTTCTCTCTGGCTGCCCTTAGCATTTTTTCTTCATTTCAACCCTGGTGAATCTGACAATTATGTGTCTTGGGGTTGCTTTTTGTGGTGTTCTCTGTATTTCCTGGACTTGAATGTTGGCCTGCCTTGCAGGTTGGGGAAGTTCTCCTGGATAATATCCTGAAGAGTGTTTTCCAGCTTGGATTCATTCTCTCCATCACATTCAGGTACACCTATCAAACGTAGATTAGGTCTTTTCACATAATCCCATATTCTTGGAGGCTTTGTTCATTTCTTTTTACTCTTTTTTCTCTAATCTTGCCTCCTTGTTTTATTTCATTGAGTTGATCTTCTATCTATGATATCCTTTCTTCTGCTTGGTCAATTCAACTATTGAAACTTGTGTATGCTTTGCGAAGTTCTCATGTTTTTCAGCTCCATCAGTTCATTTATATTCTTCTCTAAGCTGTTTATTCTCATTAGCATTTTCAAACCTTTTTTCAAGGTTCTTAGTTTCTTTGCATTGGGTTAGAACATGTTCTTTTTTTTTTAAGAATTTATTTATTTTTATTTTTATTTATTTATTTATTTTTTGTACAAATTACAAATCTGTTCCAAAATATACTTACATTAAATAAAATATGCATTTCAATAAGAGATCTACAGTGAATGACTATGCATTCTGGGAAGCTTCACAACATCTAGGCAGGGCCAACATTCATGAAAGAAGCTAAGAGATTTTGCATCCAATCACAGTTTGTAGTGGGTATCTTATTGCCAATCTGCAAGTTACATGGAACACATCATTAGCATCACTTGTGCAGAAAACCAATTTTGTTGGGGAAAAGGGAAAGCAAGCTCTGGCCTCAATTTTGAGTTCATTACAACTTCTTAAGAATTTCACCAATAGCCTATACAGTACAAGTTCAAAAAAGTAAACATGTTAAGGTAAGCAGACAACTCTTCAGAAGCCCAAACACATTTTCTTGCTGTATTTATGTTGAATTCTCCATCTACAATGCGCAGTCATGAAGATGGTCTTCTTCAGGGCAACATGGTCACAGGACTGGGGCAATCCAGGGGACTGAGAGGGAGCGTGAGGACGGGAGAGGGGGCTGCCTCCTGCTGTTTCACATGAGAGACAAACTGTAACACAGTCCATGGGCCTGCAGTCGTCCCCTTTTATCATCTGGCATAACGCTTGATGTAGCCATCCACTTTATTCCCGAAGTCTTCCTTGTCCTGCAAATGATGTTCTGCAGCTTCAATATTCAGTGGATCATCAAAATTCAAAAGATCAGTAAACAAAGAGTTTAATCCCCAAACAACATCCTTTAATGTTCTTGTGGGAGCCCAGCCAGTGAGGTCAATTGAATGTTCTCTCAGTAAACTCAGACATATTTCCCCTGTCTCTGTGATGTTGGGGTGCCAGATCTTGGTCAGGCATTTCACTTTGGGAGGCACCACGTTGTATGCATCGGGAACTTCAGTTTCAAACTGAAATTTTCCACCCTGGTAGTAACCCTCATCTGGGGTTACTGTTAGCTGAAAACAATGAAGCTTGTTTGGATCAGGAAAATGCACTTTACATGTACAAGGTAAATTAGCATCAAGTTCTGCAACCTCTTTAACAAGCAATTTGTCTCTCACAGAAACCCTCCTAGTGGAGTCTGACGCTGTGGCTGCCGTCCGGGACCCTTTGAGACCATCATCATGCTTCAGTTTGCTTGCTAGCGTTAGCATTACTGCTGCCTTTACCCTGGGCTCCCCGAGACAGGCGAGGCGGGCCCGGTGCCCAACACCATGCCCGGCCAGGGCAGCTGCTGCGAGATGCGGCCCCTCACAGCCCTATTTTTTTTTTTTTTTGAGCAGAGTGTGACTCTGTCGCCAGGCGCCAGGCTGGAGTGCAGTGGCACAATCTCAGCTCACTGCAACCTTCACCTCCTGGGTTCAAGCAATTCTCCTGCCTCAGCCTCCTGAGTAGCTGGGACTATAGGTGCACACCACCATGCCCAGCTAATTTTTGTATTTTTAGTAGAGACAGGGTTTCACCATGTTGGCCAGAATGGTCTCGATGGCTTGACCTTGTGATCCGCCTGCCTTGGCCTCCCAAAGTGCTGGGATTACAGGCTTGAGCCACTGTGCCTGGCTTAGAACATGTTCTTTTAGCTCAGATAAGTTTGATATTACCCACTTTCTGAAGCCTGTTTCTGTCAATTCATCAGAGTCATTCTCCATCCAGCCTTGATCCCTTGCTGGTGAGGAGCCGTGATCCCTTGGAGAAGGAGAGGCGTTCTGGTTTTGGGTGTTTTCATCCTTTTTGCGCTGGTTTCTTCCCATCTTTGTGGATTTATCTACCTGTCGTCTTTGTAGTTGGTGACTTTCGGATGGGGTCTCTGAGTGGACATCCTTTTTGTTGATGATGAAGTTATTTCTTTCTGTTTTTTAGTTTTCCTTCTAACAGTCAGGCCCCTCTGCTGTAGGACTGCTAGAGGTCCACTCCAGACCCTGCTTTCCTGGGGATCACCTGCGGCGGCCTCTGCATTCTCGCTGGGAACTGTACTCCAGAGCTGCTCCTATTTGGCCATCTTGGATCTGGTTCCTGGTTCTTTTTTCTTTCTTTCTTAGAGACAGGGTATTTCTCTGTTGCCCAGGCCAGAGTGCAGTGGTATGATCAGAGCTCACTGCTGCCTTGACCTCCTGGGCTCAAGTGATCCTCCTGCCTCAGCCTCCCAAGTAGCTGGGACTATAGGTGTGTGCCACCATGCCTAGTTAATTTTTTAAATTTTTTGTAGAGACAGGGTTTCACTATGTGGCCCAGGCTGGTCTCAAACTCCTGGCCTCAAGAGATCCTCCCGCCTCAGCCTCCCAAAGTGCTGGACTTACAGGCATGAGCCACTGTGCTTGGCCTCATTGTTTAATATTTAATGAGAGTATACCAGGTGCTAAATTTATTTTGCCTCAGTCAGTGTTCCCTAACAAACCACTAGGGTGTTTCATGCCAGGCTGACCAGGTACAGTGGCACACAGGCAAAAGCTACTGCCACACAGCCTCTTTTTTGAATACCCCAGAGTAGAGAGGAATCGGGACAGCTGCATTTTTGCAGCCAGCAAGGAGCTCCAGAGAGATCCTTTCCCAGCAGCCCCTGCCTTCCAGACAGGCGATCTTACGCTCCAGTTATGTTCTGCAAATCTCAGCTTTTTTCACATCCTCATCAGTCAACATCATCAGCAAGCTTCTGGGGAGAAAGCTAAAAAAGTTCTTATCTTTAAAAACAAAAAAAAAAGGAAGGCTGTGCATTAGAGGGACTTTGTCCAGCGCTGTTACACCCCCCCTCCCTCCCTTCCACTCAAACATAACTTCCAAAACTGTCTCCAGGCACAATAACATCCCCCCTGGCTGGATTTACGACTTTCCAAGCTGCAGTGGAGAGGAAAAAGGCCCAACTCTGAGAAAAACAAGTATCTAGGGAGGACGGTGTGTGCTGAATTTTAAAATGTTAAATTACGGTGAAAAATTTGCTGGAAAAGAAACTATCTTCCAAATTGTGCTACACAGTAAAGTTAATGGAGCCCATATGTCGTCTACTAAAGTTTAGAAAAACAAACTAAAAACAATACTTTCGCGCCTGCCAGGCTGAAATGTGATCTACTTCTTAATATTCACCCAACCCAGGGTAAAATGGTTTAAAATGGTAATGATTCCAAAGTGCAGCCCAAGCTCAGTGAATAAACAACAGACCTCAAACCCTGGGGGGGGCTTATGTTCTCATCGTAGCTCTGGGCAAGTCACTTAATCTCATGGTTCCTTCTCAATTTTCTTAGCTCTGAAATGGGGATGGCTGCACCTCACGAGGTGTTTACAAGGCGTACTAAGACTATCGTAAAATTTTACAAATGTTTAATAACTGATGCCCTTTTCATAATTTGGCTTTATAACATCTTTCATTATTCATTCAGTGGTGTGGAAATAAATGAGTACAGCGGCCATTCACTCAGAGCTTGCTATGGTATGGGAGTCAGCCTCCATCATTTTGGCAGAAAGTCAAAGCGGGCAGAGGAATGAGAGAATTTACAGTGACAGAAAGGGAAGGCTTCAGGTGTGCCTGGATTAGAGCTTATTGGCACAGGGAAGTGGGAGATGGACTATTTAGAAGCAGGGCAGGCTGGGCACGGTGGCTCATGCCTGTATTCCCAACATTTTAGGAGGGCAAGGCGGGAGGATCACTAGGTCAGGAGTTCAAGACAAGCCTGGCCAACATAGTGAAACTCCGTCTCTACAAAAAAATATGAAAAATTAGCTGGGCGTGGTAGCATGCGCCTGTAGTCCCAGCTGCTCAGGAGGCTGAGGCAGGAGAATAGCTTGAACTCAGGAGGCAGAGGTTGCAGTGAGCCAAGATCGTGCCACTGCACTCTAACCTGGGTACAGAGCAAGACTTCATGTCAAAAAAATTAATTAGCCAGGCATGATGGTGCATGCCTGTCATCCCAGCTACTAGGGAGGCTGAGGCAGGAGAATCGCTTGAACCTTTGAGGCAGGGGTTGCAGTGAGCCGAGATTGTACCACTGCACTCCAGCCTGGTAACAGTGTGAAACTCCTTCTAAAAAAAAAAAAAAAAAGCAAGGCATCTTGGGTGATTAGCCTGGGGAGCATCTTTGGCTTTCTCTGCTTGGTGCTGAGTTGGAAGCCAAGTGGTTTGGCTTCCCCAGCTGGTTGCTGCGGAGGTTGTGAGACTCAATTCTATTCCCAATGGTCTGGCCATTGTTCATTGTTTGCATATTAAAAATTAAAGATAGGAGGTTCTGGCTATCCCAGGAGACAACCAGGGGCCTGCCTAGCAGCTTGGGGAGTAATTTATATGTATTTTTGTACCTTTTAAATACTTTTAGAAGAAGCAAATTTAGAAGATAGGCTGCTTAACCAACAATTTTCACTCTCTTGAGTCAATGGGCACAACGAGCTAGCAATGAGTATGACTGAGTACCAGACATGAGTCTGTGCTAGGTTGGGAGAAACGGAGCGGGGAAGACTATGACAAGTCACATAACCTCTCAGGGCCTCAGTTTCCTCGTGAACAAGCTGCCAGTTCCTATCTGACTCCCCTATCTCATTGTTTGGTCTTGAGGATAAGTGGCCTAATCATTTGTAGAAGGAACCTATAAAGCAATTTGTTGGGGTTTTTTGTATTTTTCTTTAAGACAGAGTCTTGCTCTGTCACCCAGGCCTCTGCTTCCTGGATTCTAGCGATTCTCATGCTTCAGTCTCCCAAGTAGCTTGAATTACAGGTGCGCGCCACCATGCCTGGCTAATTATTGTGTTTTTAGTAGAGACTGGGTCTCACCGTGTTGGCCAGGCTGGTCCTGAACTACTGGCTTCAAATGATCTGCCCCCCTTGGCCTCCCAAAGTGCTGATATTACAGATGTGAACCACCACACCTGGCCCCTATAAAGCAGAGAGTTTAAACCCTATAAAACAGGTATTTTAGAAGTGTGCTAAGGAAGAATGTGACATAAGCTTTTGAGGGTCCACCAAGTGGCCTGGAGTCTTGAAAAATGCCCACATGTCCTGTAGGGAGACTGCCAGGCTCTCTTAAAAACTGACTGCGGCGGGCGCCTGTGGTCCCAGCTACTCGGGAGACTGAGTCAGGAGAATTGCTTGAAGCCAGGAGGCAGAGGTTGCAGTGAGCCAAGATTGCGCCACTGCACTGCAGCCTGGCGCCTGGCGAAAGAGCGGGACTCTGTCTCAAAAAAACAAAAAACAAAAAACCTCACCCTTGCCTGCTCCTCTGCTCCTCTGTGTTCAGTCTCTGTGAATGGAATCACCAAAAACTTGGGTGATTTCTTTGGGCGCCACAGGAAACTTACATACTTGACTTCAACCTCTCATTAATTCACCTATGTATTCAAATATAATGGGTTCTGTATTGCTATTTTAACATGAAGTAATAAATATTTTTAAAAATTTCTTATTCTAAATTTCTAATATAGTAAATATTGACAGTTCTAATATAGCAAATATTGATAGTTCACAATATTCTAATATAGTGAATATTGATAGTAACCAAAATAAACGAAATCTCTTTAGGTCTTGAATAATAGCTAAGAATGTAAAGGTGCCAGGCAATACTTTGAGAGGCCGAGGCAGTCAGATCACCTGAGACCAGCCTGGCCAACAATGGAGAAATCCTGTC